ATATATTTATTATTTTTTTAACTTTTTTCAGTATTATTTTTAATTACAAACATTCTAATGTTAAACATTTTTTCAAAACATTTCGATGAATTAACTTAATATATTTTTGAACATATCTACTAAAAATCTCTAAAGCAAAATTCAGCAAATGAAATCGAACGTTTAGCCAATATTTTACTATTATATTATTTTAACTAGTTATTATTTTTACATTTTTTTATTATTTTTACTTTTCAAATATAAATGGCTTAAGTAAAAACAATAAAAAAATCTGCTGCTAATAATGATCTTTCAAATAAGTAAAAGCCAAAATTGATACTAAAATAATCGATAATCAATAAGCATGATCAAAAGAAATTATTTTCGTTTGTGTTAAAGGCAAATGTGCGATCAAACGATTGGAATCATGAAAAATGGATTGGGAAGAATTCCAGCAAAATCTATTTGTATTCACTTTGTGTATTTAGAAAAATTATAAATATATCTTACATATAAATATATCTTAGTCTCACAGCTATGGATTAAATAACAGAGTAGATTAGCTATTCTAACTTTGACTGGCAACTAGTGTAGGAGAACATCAACCCTAATGAAGAAAACAACAGAAAACCATTCACTGTATTTCATAAGAACAATCATGACAAGATTGTGTTAGTAAAGTTAATGTCAATCATAGAAAAGAGAAATTGATTTTAATGACAGGCATTGCAGTGGTAGGTCAACTGTTGTGAATGAGTATAACGCCAAAAAGGTTGTTCTCATTTCGGGTGAGAGAAGAATCACAATTCAAAACGCTTTGAAAGCTTTCAAGTTAGGATTGATGAACAGAATATTTGATTGAAGTTTCATGCAGGTCTTTGGCCTCATGAAATGTCAGTGCAAAGTGGGTCCCCATACAGCTAATAGTGCTTCTGTGATTGAATAAACAATAAACGTCGAACAAAAACGTCAAATGGCAGCTGTTCATCAATTATGATGATGTGAAAGAAATAGATTGTACATGATTAAGAGAGTACTCAAGAACATTCCGAGTGTCTACACGCCATCATTCTATACCAGAAAGGCCAAGAAAGAAGATTATGTGTAAGACAAGATTTGGAATGCTCAAACATTTGTGCTCATTTTGGTGTGTTTTATGTGCTTCTCTATATATAGTGTTATAGTGGAACACACCTATTCTATAGTTAATAGACTCTCCCACCTATAATAAGTAAGCGTAGTAATAGAAACAAGTGAGTAGCTGAGTGGGTCGGTCAGTCAGTCGATGTCGGACGACCGTTAGTCGGATACTAAAGTATCAGCCACCACAACTAGATTTCTCTGCGTTATTACCTATTATATCAAGTTTCTAACGTTTTGTACGTCGAACCTATTTTAGGACCGACTTAGTATAAATACAAACCTCCACTGTGAAATCACTCCATAACTAAGTCATATATTTATTAAAAACTCTTAGTTTGCATGTTACAGTCTGCATATCAACATGAGATTATCATGCTAAATTTATCTGCCTACCCTAACATGTTGGAAGGTAGCATTTACTCTGCAGTAGATTCCCAATTCTTTCTGTGGTAACAACGGCTACAGAACCCAGGCCGTCCTCCTATTCAAATCATAGCTGGAGGGAGAAGGATTGGATTCTTTTCCAAGGCTATTTACACGTTTCTTTTTTTCGTGATGCTCATGGAATGTATTTACACGTGTGCAGAACAGCTAAAGCACAATATGCCATAAGACAGATAAAGAGACACTGAACTCCTATACATGGAAGACGTCATAAGACATATTTAATTTTCACAAGCAACAAATATACATTAAAAAGTGAAAGACCACAAGGATAGCCTCCCATACCACTTAATCAGCCCATCCAAGAATAAAATCGGTATGATGATCTAGGAAATACTCTAAAGAGCCTGCAAATACACAAGAAATTCTTTAGGAGTCAACCAGTGGCATAATATCACTGACCCCATTGATTGATTCAATAAAATAAAGAAGAAAAGCGAATGCTCTTTTATCCAATTCGATATTTACAATCTTTACCCATTCATTACCGAGAAGTTACTAACCTATAAGCAAACAGGACATTAACATCATTAAACAGGCCCAGGAACCAATCCTGTTTCATAAAGGTTGCCTGTAGACCAACTGTAGCAATCCTGATTTTAGTATTGCCATGTGAGCGTTAGATTCGGCGGAAGCTTGCGAGCTAGTTAGCATCTTAGGTTTACCTTGATTATTAAAAACAACGGCATCCATAAGGATTACACAAATCAAGCGCACGGAAATCTAACCGTCTTAGAAAAAGAAAAAAAAACTAATCAAGTTCTTCAAAGACCACGGTCTGAGCATTACTACCACCAGCACTAGTATCGGAAAAAACTTTTGAATTTAATCCATAAGCACTTCAGTAATTCCCCAAAGCTAAATAAGATTTTGCTAAAGTTGTGCTAAAACGATCGACCAGTATATAGCACAGCACAACTGTTCCATTCTAAACAGATACTTCATCAACCTTCAAAAGAACAACATCACCGCAATAATTGCAACTGCAGAAAAACAAACCCTGCCCATTAAACGGCAAATGCATGTCTAAATCTTTAGTTTATAAAGATGAAATCAAATATGACGATCAGGCCACGTTTTATGTGGGATCTATGAAAAACCATTGGAAATCGCGCTTTTACCACCTCTAAATAACATTAGGCAATATCAAATATAGTAACAGTAATGCCTCTATAAATTTTTCTGCAAACTGAAAAACGAGAATAAAAACTCAATTATCACCTGGGAACCAGTAACGAAAGCTAAATCCTTCCGCGTAAAAGGCAGCAATTGTAAACTATGTCTTTCTGAGAATTTTTATTTTTTGTTACTTTTACTTTGTTAATATTAGATTATAACGCATTTAATTTTTATGTTAATCCATTATTTCCATTGTCTTACCTCTACCATTTTTAACATTGTTGTTTCGTCTTTTCGCCTAACATTAGTTTTACTATTAGTAATGTGTTTATTTACTTATTTATTTTTTATTTGCATTCATTATTTTTATTTATTTACTTGCTCTATTTATTTACATATATATATATATATGTTTCTATTTTATTTTATCTTATTTTATGTTATTTTATTTTCATTGATGTGTATTATCTTTATTAGTACTTTTATATTGTAATTTTATTTTATCATGGCATATTTTGTTATTATTGATTTCACTATACTTATTTAGCTTATTAATATTAATTATATTATTAATTAATTTTTTAGATTTGCTCCTCTTGATTTTCAAACGTTTTTTCTTATTCATTCCTTTTGACAACAACAGCGTCTGTTCAAATTATAATTTATAATATTTATTCCCAAACTTATTATCAATCTTAAATGCTAATCTGGTCCTAAATTCAAATCCAAAATGAAACTACAACTCATTTAAATAATCCAGGCCTACAATAAAATATCTGGCGATAAACAGAAATATTATAGAAGCGATGTTAACCCGAAAAATTGCACCTGACGAATGCAGAACAGAAACGTATGCAAAATGTAAGATATGTATAATCAATGTATATATATATATATATATATATATATATATATATATATATATATATATATAATTTTGTTTCTCATTTGCATGTATCAAACGGTTATATATTTTAATATCAGGTGGTTTTCTGATTTGTTATCTGTATCTATACACTTTACTGAATATTGATCTGAACCTGTTCTTTTATGATGTGAAAAATACACACGAGTATGTAACACAGAAAAAAATGTGAATATTCACAAGCAAATGAGTTCAGTCTGACTAAAAATAAATGCTTCATTATTTTGGCAATGTCCTTTATGGTTACGCGCTGAAGTCGAATTTGTTATGATTAGTATTAATATATGTTTAAAAAATGTTAAATTTAGCAGCTTCTTGAGAAACTAGCAAAGTGGATATTCAATAGACAGAAAGAGAATACATAGTAATAATTAATCTTTGTCAGCTTACTTGTAGTGCATTTAAAAGCACACCTGTCTACCCTATGCAGGAGAATCACTCAAGTTATTACTATAACATGGAAATTACAGATTATGAAAATTAACTCAAGTTACTGCTATACCTAATCGTAATTAGAGATGGTGGAAATTAATCAAGTTATTGCTAAGCCTCATTGAGATTAAAGATGATAAAAATTATTCAAGTTATTGCTATACCCGATCGAGATTACATATTATAGAAATAGCTCAAGGTATTGCTATACCTTATCGAGATTACAGATGATGGAATTACTCAAGTTATTGCTATACCTGATCGAAATTACAGATGATGGAAATTGCTCAAGTTATAACTATGCCTCATCGTGATTACAGATGATGAAAATTACTCAAGGTATTGTTATACCTCATCGTAAGTACAGATGATGGAAATTATTCAAGTTATTGCTATACCTCATCCACCGCAATTGAGATTACAGATCCTGTAAACATCATAATATTTCATTGTCACTTTCATAATTTTTTTTCTGTGGCTTTATAGTATGTGCTTCCTCAGTGCTATAAAATTTTGAATTCAGAGTTAGGTGGCCAACCCCGGCTAAAATACTCTGTCTGTCTTGATATTTAATCTATAAATGGTAGATAACTTTCTAAGGGTTATTTTTGTGAAGGTGAATGTAAGGAACTAGACCAGAATTCGAACTCGGCTCGGGATTATCTCGTTTCGTGTTGCTAACTGAACACCTGTTATACACCATTATTGTTACATTTCAAAGCAAATTATTGGAAAAGAATCAAACTGACTTGATTCTAAGGCAACGCTGTAATGTTGACAATTCCTCAATCGAATGTTTCTTATGAAATAAGATAAGACTAACGCGTTATGATTTTTGTTTAATGTGTCACACATAAAATGACAACGAGTTGAAGTTAAAAATGAGATGTGAATTGTCCTTGACACTTATTGAAAACTGTTTCTCGCTTGGCAGGTACATCTTTCAAAACAAAACGTCATGCACAACTGTTGCGTAAGTATTGCTATTGTGTCCTTATCATTATTGTTATTTTACTACTGTTTGTTAAAAGATTCCAATGAAAATGTATGACTTATTGTTTTATTATTTGTAATACATGATAGATTATTTTCACTCTCCTCCAATAATTTAAAGGAGAGTCATCACTCCAAGTGTAGTTCGGACTATTGAAGTCATTCTATTGTGCTTTCCAAATTTTGACCTATCAATTCTACAGCCTTCTTCATGAATAAAATCGGAAAATAAAGAGCAAGTCTGTTTTTAAAGAGATTCTAGTGAGCAGAAGAAATATTGGCAAATATGTAATCAGTTGGGTTGAAAGTTTTGCTTGGAATTGAATCACAATTGAGGCAACTGTCATATTTACCACAGTTATTTTCCAATTTAGCCTTCAGATTCTGGTCGATTCATTTCATTCAAACTGGTTCGTCACTAGTTTGTCTTGTATTAAAATAACAGGCTAAATAACAGTATTGGTTCCTGGAGACCCATCTCACATGAAATACCTCTCAAATAGACTGAAGATGTGCGTTAAAGGCTCCAAAGGCTTGTCGAATCAGTCTTTGAATATCAAAGTGTGTGCATCAGTCACCACTTTAAAATGACCATATGACGAATTTTATTCTCGTGAGGAGGAATATTCAGCTTAAACGCCATAATCTTTCAATATATTGCAGTCATGACTCTTCACCAATGATCTTTCTTTGTTATCTGTGAATTGCTAGGAAATCATGGCAAATACAGGGGAGTGGCTTCTCGTTGCCATTTCGTCGGATTTGAATTTTGAGTTGTCCATCTCTTAATGCCATCCAAAGGTCCATAGCATAATCCATCTTGGTATTTAGTTCATAGGTATGTGGGGAAAATACATTCAATCCTTTCTCAAAGGCATTAATGTGATACGGTTGCGAAAGTTTTCCCCCACTTAAGGGAACAGAAGTATCACAATTCTTTACATATGTCTTGTACACCTAAAAGAAACTGTAGAATGGATAGGCTGAATTGCTGTGCATTTACTAGTCCGAACAAATTTTGCAGCTTCGTACATTAACCTATATATATATATATATATATAAAGACATTTTTATGTTTATACATTCTTAATATTCAAATAAATGCTCTGTTTTATAATAAACAGTATTAATAACATTTACCGGCCAGAATGTCCGAGAAATTTTCATAGTAAATATTCATCCTCCGACAAGAATCGAACCTGTATCCTATACAGAACCGACATTTAGCCTGATTTGCCTTAACCGATCAAGCCACGGAGAATTGTTCGATGAGTGACGTCGATTTTACTGCTTTCAAAGTTTAATCTTCCATGAATCGCTCACGTAAATTCATATCTACTTAAAGCGGACCCAAATGTAAACAAATGACGTCACACATTATGAAATATTTATATCTATAAAAAGAATGTATAAACATAAAAATATCTTAAAATAATTGTCGGACTTTGTCCATTTCATAATATATATATATATATATATATATATATATATATATATATATATATATATATATATATTAATGATAACGTAGTAACAAATACAGGTTGTTGTCACTTGTCACATATCCTTATAGATTTGCAAGAAAGATTCTGTGACAATATTGTAGTGTATTTATCATTAGCATTTCCTACTGAGCACGATTGTTGATTGTAAAATTGTTTCCTGTGGTTTCTTTCGTCATTACATATTCATTCACTGGTTATTGTTTACGCAACAACGGGATAGTGAAACACGTGCATGTATTGAAGCATGTCTCAGTACTTGTTTCACACGTCTATATCTATGTAACATATATGTGTGCATACACACGCATGTGCGCGCACAGACACACACTTATATGAATACATGAATATGTGTTCTTATTCAATTTGTAACTGAAAATCAAATAGTCAACGTGTAAGGAGAAAAATATTGTCGGTAGGATCAGAGTGACTACAAGACAAAAATATGACTCAGTTTCTATCTATCTATCTATCTATCTTTCTATATTTTTTTATATATTTTTATATTTATATATATATATTTTTATATATATATATATATATATATATATATATATATATATATAGGTTTATGATATATATATATTTGACTGGACAAAATGATATTTTGTGGGTAACGGCTTCATGAAATTTATATCATTGACAGGCGGGAGTTAATTTTAGTGTTGTAATTATTAGTTGGAATATATTGTTCTTGTGATGCCATAATAAGGTCTTCTGTCTCTTCTTTAGACACTGCTTCTAAGTCATTGATGGATTTGACGAACATCGATGTCTGGTTCATTCAGGTGCTTTGAATACTTTCCATATAAAGGTTTTCATCTCCATTTTTGTCCGAGTATCTTTCTACAGCTTTCGTCAGTAACTTACTTTTCTTTACCATAGCGGTGGAAGGTTCAGGATATTTGTCATCTTCAGGATCTGCTACATCTCAGGTGTTTTGTATTTCTTGGATTTGTTTAATGATTGAAGTATTCTTCGTATTCTCATTTTTGAGTACAGCCTTCAGATACATATCTCGTGTCGTTTGTAAGCTTATTTTATTAAACATATTTTATTATTATTATTATTATTATTATTATTATTATTATTATTATTAATAATAATACTATTTCTTTGATTTCTGCTGTACACACATTTCCTTCCGGGTCCCATCTAGAGATCTAAGTTCAGAAATAGCTTCATGATATTTTCCACTAATCATTTTCGTAAAAAAAAAAAAGGAAAAAAAAGACAAACAGAGAAAGCTCCGAAATTTGTGAGCTGTACTTGTGATTAGAATTTTTTTTGCATTTCTTTAAGGCATGGAATACCAGGAATCCCTTCAATGAGTCTATACGGATATATATTCTAATCAATCCGAGGGCTCTAACTACAGCTGGAATTGTTGATGTCCTCATGTGCCGCCATTTTGAAATTTTCATTTCAAGATCCTTATATTTTATTTTTTATTATTAATAATTTATTATTATTAATATATTATTTTATTATTATCATTAATATCTTATAATTATTTTGATTTTTCATTATTAGTATATTTGATTATTAATAATTTCCTCTTCTACTTTTTCTTCTTCTTCTTCTTCTTCTTATTTTTATTTTCTTAGATTTCTGGCGTTTACACATTTCTTTCCGGGTCCCGCCCAGGGACCTAAGGTTAGAAATGGCGTCATGACACTTTCCACTGACAAAAAAAAAAAAAAGTATTACATAGATAAAGCCCCTCGTAAAGTGTGGGCTGTACTTGTCAGAACAATTTTTTGTATCTCCTTGAGGCATGGACTTCCAGAAATCCCTTCAATTAGTCTACTGCAATCTTTTCCAACCAGTCCTAGGGCTCCAACAACAACAGGGATTGGTGATGTTCCCATATGCCACATTTTCGAGATTTCTATTTCAAGGCCTTTGTACTTTGACAACTTTTTGAATATCTTCAAAGATACATTGCAGTCAGCAGCGACTGCCATATCAATAAGGAGGCACCGTTTTTGTTTGTGGTCTTTAATAACAATATCTGGCCGGTTGGCCTTGATTGTTCTGTCAGTGTGTATTGTGTAATCCCATAGAATTGTGACAGGTCCCATCTCCGTAACCGGGTCTGGGCGGTGTTCATACCAGTTTCCTTCCCGTAGAAGTTGCAGATTTTCCAGTGCAGATATTGGCCCACTCTGTCATGTCAGGTTTTATATTCAGTGGGTGCCAACACCGTGCAACCTGATACAAGATGATTAATCGTTTCTGGATATTTATCACAGAATCTGCATTTTGGGCTGACACAATATTTTAGTATATGTGCTTGATAATTCCTAGTTAGCAAGCATTGGTCCTGCGCAGCAAGGATAAAACCTTCAGTTTCCGCTTTCAACCCTGCACTACGTAGCCACTGATGGGTACGGGTTTTGTCTACGTCAGCTTGTTTGGTACGGGCAGAGTATTGGCCATAAAGCGGTTTATCTTGCCATCGTTTCTGTAACTGGTCGGTTGCATTCGTCTTTGCTGTCTTTTTCAGGTATTTTGCAGTTTCAGCTGGTGTATTGTGCTGTAGTTGCATCTCTACGCCCATCTGAAACTCCATTTTAAATTTGTTGGCTTCTTTCATTACGGAGTAGAGACGCTTACTACTTTCATGTTCCTTGGCGCATACCATCATCCAGTCTTCTGTAGTTTCCAAATATCTTTGGAGGCCAATTGTTGTAGTTTTGTAGGACAGTTCTAGTTGAACTAATCCTCTGCCTCCTTCGGATCTGGGCACATACAGACGATCAACATCAGCTTTGGGATGATGCATGCGATAGCAAGTGAAAGCTTTCTCGTTTTGGCGTCCATTCGCTTAATTTCAGCTATGGTCCAGTTAAGGACATTAAAGCTGTATTGCACCACAGGGACAGCCAATGTGTTTATGGCTGATATCCTGTTTTTTGCGTTTAGCTCAGTATTTAGTACCAGACATACACGCCTGTAGTATTCTTTTCTTATTTTTTCCTTCATTTGGGGAGGGGGGTTGTATGCCATCTCCTTCGCTAATTCCTACTTATAAGCTTCACCATGCTCCAGTTCCCTTATCTTTGTGACAAAATCTAAATCTATTAAGAGTGTTTATGTAATTCTACCTTTCTTTATCTAATCCGAAGTCCATACTGTGGCACCATTTACCGAGGCAGAAAAAGAAAAGAAAGAAAAGAAAGAAAAAAAAGGAAAAAGAGAGCTAAGACCCAAAGCGTGGATGATAAGCAGAACACCACGGCTAAGAGACAATGGGTAAGGGATATTTTGATAAGTAACAAATGGCGAAAGAGTGTCATTACAATGACAGGGAAATTCTGAGTGGATAAAGGAATCGGGTGTGTTTTGGCGACGGCTGTGTTTTCTAGGGATACGTAAACAAACTGCTGGCCGACTGGCCAAAGAAAAATCCAAATGAAAATGTTATTTCGATACGTGACGGAAAACAGGTGGACTAAAAGGGCTTTGGATAGAT